GTTGTGTGTGTTGGGGCTGGAGCGATAGCACAGCGGGTAGGGCGTTCGCCTTACAAGCGGCCAACATGGCCGACCCGAGTTCGATTCCTCCGCCCCTCTCAGAGAGCCCGGCAAGCTACCGAGAGTATTCGATATGCCAGACACAGTAACAACAAAGTCTCCAATGGAGACGTTACTGGGCCCGCTCGAGCAAATCGACGATCAACGGGAGGGCCTTTACCTTTACTTTACTAACATGTTGTTAAAGACTGATTGATGTGAGCTTTTGTGTGTATCTAAAAATATGTATATGTGCATATATGTATATTTCCCTCTATGATTTGTTGCCTACTATTTGTGGTGTGATACTAATCAAGAATGGGTAGGTAGTGTCTTATGATGTGTCCAGAAATACTTTCACTCATGTATGAAGCTCAGGTCAAGCGTATTGGGAGCAGCCTCAAGCACGGCGATGGTTCAATTCTGGAGATTTTCAGCTGCTGGAGCCGGGTCCCTTGGGGCAGGGAGGGCTCTCACCTGCATCCCTCTGGGGCGCCCCAAGTGAAACAGCCTGGTGCGGTGTCCGGTGTCATGGCTGTGGCAGGCTTCATGTTGTGCACCCTTCCAGGAGAAAAAGCCATGTGATCTGGACAGTGGCCGATGACAAGATTGTCTGGCGCTGGGAGGATGTAGCTTATGGGCATGACCTGGGTTGCCAGAGACTGGGGGAAATGGGCAGAGGGATCTCTACTCCCGGTTCATTGAGCCCAAGGTCCAAGGTCACAAAGTTCTGCATTACCTGGGTTTTGTCGGACTTCACTCATGCGTGGGGCTCGACCTGAGCGTGTGGGAAGTGGCCTTGAGTGTGGCACAGCCTTCATTCTTAACTGGTGTTACTTGTGAAAATTCAAGTGTCTTCTGTGGTCAGTGAAAAGTTGTGATTTTGTTTCCAGACCCATCCAGCTGCTCTGTGCTTTTTGATTGGAGAATTCAGTGATTGGTTGCCATATTTCTGTGCAGATTTTGGTCATTTTTGTCATTCAGCCTTTTCTTTTTCAGTAGAAGCCTAATAACTATTCCTTACAGAGGTGTTTTAGATGCAGCAAATCGTTTGAGCTGCTGTTTGAGAAGGTTTTTATAACTCAGATGTAAGTGATCCCCTTGCAGTGTAGCACATTCTTTCTTGGTTGCAGATTCTTTTCTCTCAGTAGCTTTATCATTCCATTTGCTTCTCATATTTAGAGTTTCATCTGAGAAATCTGTGTTTTGTATTATTTTCCTTATATTTGAGACATTACTTCTCTCTTGCTACCTTATGGAGTCTCTTTTTGGTTCTTAACCATTTTTATGGGCTGGAGCGATAGCACAGCAGGTAGGTAGGGCGTTTGCCTTGCCAGAGGCCAACATGGCCGACCCTAGTTCGATTCCTCTACCCCTCTTGGAGAGCCTGGCAAGCTGCCGAGAGTATCTTGCCCGCACGACAAAGCCTGGCAAGCTCCCTGTGACGTATTCGATATGCCAAACACAGTAACAGTTGTCACAATGGAGATGTTACTGGGCCCGCTCGAGCAAATCGATGAACAACGGGAGGACAGTGACAGTCACTATTTTTATATAGTATGGCTTGTTTTCCTGGGTTTGTTTTTTCTTTTGGGTACTCTTTGGGTCTCCTGGGTCAGTGCACAGGTCTCCCTTAAACTGGGATGGTTCTCAACTATTTATCTCTTCTACCACTGTACTTTTCTCTTTCTTTTTTCCCTCTTCTTTAGAATTTGTGTTTTGTATTGTTCTGTTGGTTTTGGGGCTACCCTTGACAGTGCTCAGAAGCTACTTCCAGCTCTTTGCTCAGGAATAATCCCCCAGTGATGCCTGAGGAGCCATATGCAGTGCCAGGGATTGAACTTGGCTCAGGTGCCTCAAAGGCAAACCTCTTAACCTCTTATACAGTGCCAGCCCCATTCCTCTTGTTTTGATGCTGCATTATATCTTGCCCTTAAGGCCACTCATTCTATTTTCTACCAAAAACGTTCTGTTGCTGTGTTTTCTTTAGTTTTTTCAATTGTTTCAGTGAATTCCTTAATTCTTTTCCATCAGTTTTTCAGGTTTATTTAATCTGTTTTAGTGATTTTTTTTCTCAGCTCACTAAACATTGAGAAGATTATTGCTCTTAAATGATTGTCAGACAGTATGAAAAGTTCTGATGTACTGAAGGACTTTCCTTGTGCTTCTGTCCCCATTTCTTAGTGGAACTGAATTTTTTTCTTTCTTTTTTTTTCCCCAGTATTCCTGGTGCTTAGTGGGATCTAAGGATAGAGCTCTTGAGTTTCTGGTATTCTGTGCAGCAATCTAGTGTTCTCGGTATTAATTCAGTGCCTTATAATTTTACTAATTTCTGGCAGTCACAAATGCTTTGTGAAAATTTCTTAAGTGCTTGTTAACATCAGTCAGCTGCCTGTGGCTCTGCTTTATGTATATTTGGATGACTAGAGGGAATTGTGGCACCTGTGCCTAGTAGCTACTATGACACGAAAGTCTAGCTAACCCTCTGGCCTTGGGTTTGCAGTTATTGGTGTCTACTAGTATGTGGTGTCTCAGCCCATCTAAGTTGTCTAGTGACCAGAGATGTGGTCATGTGTACCCAATAACTTATGTTTAACAAGCTGATCTTTATGGCTACTGGGGAATTTTTGTATTTGCCAGTACCTCTTTGAAGGTGGCACCTCCCCCTTGCTTTCTCAGGAATGTTAGCTCCCAACTATTGCCTGGGAGACCTGCATGCATCCTGTCTGTGCTGGGCACTGCCTGTTTCCATTCTCCGTGACACAGTAGGTATAGGAACAGAACTAGACCCTTTGGATCCTTTTCACTCGGTACACTCCAGCTTAGATTGGGGGTTAATTCTGGTGCACTTGCTCATTGGGAGCTCTCTCTGATTCTGAACTGGCTGCAGCTCTGAGTTTGCCAGGTTGAATGGCAGCTGGAACTTGGGTGGGTTTGCCAGGTTGAATGGCAGCTGGAACCTGGGTTGAACCTGAAACAGTGAGTCTAAGGGTGCTGAGACCCTCCTGGATGGAACTCATTAGGTGGTGGCACTTTTTGTTGAGTTTAACAAAAGTCCAGGGACTCTAAGACACCTGAGTATCAGTACAAAGCTGAATTCTGTGAGAAAACTGAACACCCAACTGGAACCTGTCTGTTGGACAGGACCCTGTCAACTCAGGCAACAAACCTCTCAGGTGTTACTGAGATGGCACCTCTCTTGAAGTGGTGCACCTAAGTGAAGGCTGGCTGTGGTGTTCCCAGGAGTGGCAGTCTACGTGTTGAACTCAATGAGCCCTGAGATTGTTTTTCTCTTAGCATGTGCTGGTTGAGAAACGAATGTTCTGAAGCCATAGTACATCAGGTAGGGCGTTTGCCTTGCATATGGCCAACCGGAGTCTGATTCATGGCATCACATATGGTCTTCCGAGCACCACCAGAAGTAATTCCTGAATGTCGAGTCAGGAGTAACCTCTGAGTGTCACCAGTTGTGACACAAAAAGTAAACAAAACAAAATAAAAAATGAATGTTTTGTAAGTCCTTTGCATTCAGTAGTCTCCCATCCCAGGTTGGTGTTTTCTGTCTGGTATCCTTATGGGACTCTTTGGGGTTCTCTCTCCTCATTCAGCTTCTGAGACTCTCCTTCCTTAAGGGGAAGCACTCCTTAGCCCTGGACTTGCTCACAGTTCTTCATTCCAGAGTTGTGTCTCCCAAGGGTTGTGATGACAGTGTTCTCACCTTTGCAGGGTGCTATGCTCTCTTCATTGTCTATGCTTTCTTTGTGCTAATGCCCCAGGGGTGCTCACAGCCATCTTTACCCCACTCCAAAGCTCACGTATTTTTACTGTTAGATAGTTTATAGATCATATTTCAGGGTTTTTTTTTTCATGTTTTTGATGGGTTTTTTTTTTGTGTGTGTGTTGGTTTCATTTTGTGGAGGGGGTGAGGTTGTTTTTGTTTTTGCAGTGCAGGGGGATTAAACCCCAAGTCCTTATGCAATCAAGGCAGGTGCTCTCCCACAGTTCCATTCCTGACCCTGTATTTCATTTTTAACTAAATGAGGAAAATGTTACTTTTATTTATTTCAAAAAGATTTTTGTTGTTTCCACTTGGTGGGTTCAGGTGCCAGAGATTAAAACCAGGGCTTCTGTAGGCAAATCATCCACTCTAGCCTGTTGAGCTCTCTCCCTGACCCATCCCTGTTTCAAAAATAAGAAAACTGAACTAAAGTAAGGGTAATGTACTTTTATTTAGCTAACTTTGTATAACTTAATAAGAGGTTTTGAACACATGGTGTGTGTACATACAAATTTTACATGCTTTCTGCTGTATAATTAAACAGCATTTAAGTATGTTATCTCCTGCTAAGCAGGTATTTAATTTTTATATATAATTTTAACCAATTTTTTATGTAATTTACACAAAACAAAATTTTTTTTAATGTAGGAGTACTGCTATTTATTCAGCATTGATTAAGCTGATTGAATTGTACGTGAACTCCACAATATAAAATATTTAAAGTGCCACTATGATCTCTCTCATATGCAGAATATAAAGAAACATAGGGGAATACCAAATGCCCAAAAGCAGTAGAAACAAAGAACATAAAAATTGTTTATAGTAGGAAGCATAGGGGTAAGGGCCAGTAGGACAGCAGTGGAGGGAAGTGTTCAGCTGAGAGGAGGAGAGGGTATAGGAAGGTGGTAAAGTGATTACATGAAACCCTGTCAGTAACAGTACTGTAAACCCAGTGCCAAAAATTAAATTTTAAAATTGCTTCTCATGTACTCAGACTGCTGGGTGGGAGGGAAACAGGGGCCATTGGTAGAGGGAAGTGGACAATGGTGTTGAAATGTTGCATGCTAGAAACCCAATTATGAAGAACTTTGTAATCCACAGTGACTTAAATTATAAAATACATATTTCAAAGTGTCGAATATACACTAAATTCTAGACCTTTTAATTTTCTACTATACTTTAGGCTAACTGTGATCTCAGGCGGCAAATAGATGAACAACAAAAATTACTTGAAAAATACAAGGAACGATTAAATAAGTGCATATCAATGAGCAAGAAACTGCTTATTGAAAAGGTAAGCTGAAAGATTAATACATTTTATCTTTTCTGTAGCTCCTTTGCCTTGTATGATTTTAAAATTTACAGAAGTAAAATTGAGTAATTTTCCACCCCCCCTGACTTTTTCAGAGTACGCAAGAAAAACTGTCAAGCAGAGAGAAGAGTATGCAAGACAGATTACGCCTTGGGCACTTCACAACAGTTAGACATGGTGCTTCATTTACTGAACAATGGACAGATGGTTTTGCATTTCAGAACCTTGTAAAGTTAGTCATTCTTACACTTTTTTAAAAAATGTATTCCTTTGGCCTTTAGATTATAGATTTGGAATTATGTTCTATAGTCTTTACTATTTGATATTATAGAATTTAACATATTTAAAGGGAAGATGGAACAGTGGAAAAGTATATCTTCTGAAATTCAACTTACCTTCGAGTTTTATATATTATTTGAAAGAAAAATTATTGAAAATTTTTATTTTGAGATGTATAACTATAACTTATAAATCCTGTGATTCTTTTGCTTAGTTTTTTTCCAGATTTTTTTTTAATTTAGCTCTTGCCCACTCTGTTCATCCAGAAACAGATAGAAACTTTTCTCCCTCCTGCCTCATATAGTAACTCATAAATCAATTGGACTGAACATAAGCCTTGAGCATTTTGAGGTAAACTAAACAAAGATATTTTTGTTAAAATATTTTCCTGAGCTCAGATGGTGGCAGGTAAGGATAGACTGACTATATATTAAGGAGTTGGGACCTTTGCTGCTCCATGTTTTTTCTGGGGGAAAAAAAATGTTTTTAATGTGAAAAACAAAAGTACTAGCATATACTACAGCTTTTTAAGAGTCAGCTAAATTAAGGAAAATGGAGGGGAAATTTTATTTTACACAATGTGACATTAAACTTTGCTGTTCTCAATGGCAGTTTTTAGCATACTTTCTACAGGATGACTTATCTCAGCCAATTATATGTCCTTTTTTTTTTTTAAGCATAGATTTGCCTGGTGTTAGGTATACTATAATGAAGGTCAGTGTCCTGGGATGCTACAAAATTTGGGTTTCTATCACTAATTGGGTACTATGAAGAGTTCCTATGTTGTGTGTGTCATTAGAATTAAGTTTCAGGGGAGCTGGAGTGATAGTACAGTGGAGAGGGTGTTTGCCTTGCATGTGGCTGACCTGGGTTCGATTCCCAGTTCCCCATATGGTCCCCAGAGCAATGCCAGGAATGATTCCTAGCACAGTCAGCATTGCCTGGTGTGACCCAAAAAAACAAAAAAAAGAACAGAATTAAGTTTCAGAAAGATAACTCTGAAACCTGAAAATAGTATTAAGAGATAAATTGTTGAAAAAGTAGTGTTCACATGAAATGTTTGAACTAAAGAGGAAGATACGTTTCAGATAGAAAACACAAAATTTCGGTGTCTCCTAAGCAAGAACTTTTGCTGCTAAACCTAGACCTGTAGAGGTAGTATAGCAAGTAAAGCGCTTGTCTCACATGTAGCAGACCTGGTTTCAATCCCCACCATTTCATATGGTCCCCAAGTCCTACCAGGAGTGATCCTTGAGCACAGAGCAAGGTTTAAAACCTGAGCACTGCTGGAAATAGGGCCCCCCCCCAAAAAAAAACTATTTTTTTTCTTTAATAGCTCATGTATTTCATTCAACAAATAACTTATTGTATACCTAGTATATGCTGCATACTGAGACTATAGCACTGTAGCACTGTCCTCCCATTGTTCATCGATTTACTCGAGCGAGCTCCATTGTGAGACTTGTTACTGTGTTTGTAGTGCACTATAAAATACAGGTAGTCTCTGTACTCATGGAGTGATATCGTCTATTTATATATGATAAGTCATCTATGGCAACATAATTTTCCCCAGTCCAGGTTGTTTAGGGAAGATCTCATTTTAACAAGTAATTAAAATGAGACCTGGGTTATGATGTATAACAGTGTTGGGCAGGCATGAGATCAATTAAGACTATTTTATATGAGTCTCTATATTTCAGCTGAAAAGTAATAAAAAGTTTGATCCATTTTTTTAATTTTGTTTCTATACAGGCAGCAAGAATGGGTGAACCAGCAAAGGGAAGACATTGAAAGACAAAGGAAACTTCTGGCCAAACGCAAACCTCCCACTGCTAATAATTCTCAGGCACCCTCTACCAATTCAGAACCAAAACAGAGGAAAAACAAAGCTGTCAATGGAGCAGAAAATGATCCCTTTGTTAGACCCAATTTACCACAACTGTAAGCCTCCATTTAATTCTTTTAAAAGTATTGACAGTGAGCATACATCTTAGTAAAGAATGTTATTTATGGTTAAACCAAAAAGTTTAAAGTAGTATAATAGCTCTAGTCAGGAAGACAGTCTTGTAATTTTAACTCTAAATTAATAGTTCCCAAATTTGAATTCTGAATTTTAAAAATGACATGTATTAGCCCCGGTTAAAATTGAGACTTTAGTAGCTAAACGGTGATGGGATCATTCTTTCTTTCATATCTGAATGATAGTTACCAGGGTTTGTTTGTTTGTTTGTTTGTTTTAGCTTTTTTGGTTCACACCCAGCGATGCACAGGGGTTACTCCTGGCTTTCCGCTCAGGAATCACTCCTGGCGGTGCTCAGGGGACCATATGGGATGCTGGTAATCGAACCTGGGTCGGCTGCGTGCAAGGCAAATGCCCTACCTGCTGTGCTATCACTCCAGCCCCATGATAGTTACCAGTTTTGATCCTCAATGTCTCCAGTAATTTTTTTCTGAGAGAATGTTAACTTAAGTACTCTATTTTTTCAACTGAAAAGCAGTACCTTGACAAGTTGTAGATTTTTCACCATTTTGCTTTTTTTTTTTTTTTTTTTGTAATTTTTATGCATTAACAAATACAATTTAAGGGACTTAGACATTTGGAAAAAGTTTACATGTTTACCATAAAAAAATGAATATATGAAAGAGCATGATAAAATATGTAAAGCATGCTTCCATACCCCAGATAACATCACTGTTAAAAATTTTTGATGTAGGGGCTAGAGCGATGGCACAGTGGGTGGGGCATTTGCCTTGCAAGCGGTCACATGCAACCGACCCGGGTTCAATTCCCAGTATCCGATATGGTCCCCCAAGCACCACTAGGAATAATTCCTGAGTACAGAGCCAGGAGTAACCCCTGAGCATTGCTGGGTGTGACCCCCCCCAAAAAAAAATTTTTTTTGATGTATAGGTGATACATAACCATCAATTTACGTGAGTAGTAAATACACACACTTGATGCATGGGCGCATACATTCCCTCTTCGATATTTTATATGAATGTACTTTTCTTCTGTTGGAAGAATCTACTATCTTGTGCCTTTTGCTCTCAGACTTTTTCTGTATTTTCTGTTAATATTGTATTAACATCTCTTTAATTGCACAGGCCAGTTTTCTGATTGTAACCCTTCACTTTTTTTTTTATTTAAAAATGGAATTTTTTTTAATTAATTTTTTTAAAATTTTTTTTATTAAAGAATTTTTTTTAATAGGAGACATCATGAGGTAAGTTGCAGACTTACACATTTTTGTGCTTGGGTTTCAATTATACAATGATCAAATACCCATCCCTCCACCAATGCCCAAAAAATGGAAAATTTTTTAAATTGTCTCTTCACTGGTGGGGAGCTATAGCAAAGCAGGAGAGAGAGCATAGCAGATAGGGGGTTTGCCTTGTACATCCCAGGTTCGATTCCTCCATGCCTCTTGGAGAGCCTGGCAAGCTACCGAGAGTATCCCGCCCCCACGGCAGAGCCTGGCAAGCTCCCCCGGCGTATTCGATATGCCAAAAACTGTAACAAGTCTCACAGTGGAGACATTACTAGTGCCCGCTCCAGCAAATCGATGAACAATGGGAGGACAGTGCTACAGTGCACCAATCACTGGGGAGAGCGTTGGAGGGGTTAAGTGGGGCAGGGACGGGGAAGTACCTGAGGACATTTTTGAGCCACACCCAGAGATGCTCAGCAACAGCTCAGGGAAGTATTAGGGAACCATGTGGTGTGATGAATCAAACAGATAAATGTCTTCTGCATGCAAAGCATGTGTTCTAGCACTTGGGAGCCATCTCCCTAACCCAGGTGGTGCTAATCTTCCCTTTGGTACTTCAAATCTATTTCCTTCAGACCTTTCCCAATTTTGAAATTATTTTATAAGTTGGAATAAAAACACCGCTACTGATATTTTTTTAACTTAGCAAATTAGTAACCTATCATAAATAAGCAATTTTGTTGCTTTTTTAAAAGCATGGGTGATTAGGTAAGCTGTTAAATAGGAGAAAATGTAAAGTTTTTCATTGATCCCTGAAGAGATGGTTTTTTTCTTTAAGGTAGTTCCTCTGTCACTTCATTAACAATAGTCACTCAGTTAATGACACTAAAATCGTCTTTCCCTAGTTTCCCACGTATGTTTCCATAAAGTTCTTCTGTGTCTTTCAGTACCTTTATTTATTTATTTTTTTGACTGAGCTGCGAATCAAACCCAGGATCTCATCCTCAGCCTATATTCCTCTTTATATTCTCTATCTTAATATAGGGTCCCACCTTTTTTTTTTTCTTCAGTTGAGAGCACTGTTTCTTACATGTTTCATTTTACATTCCTTTAATTTCCTTCATTAGCATCGGGACAAAATTCACTCTCATGAGATCTTTAATGAGCCTATTTATTTTTCTTGTTAGGGTCATTCCCCAATATCTATTCTCATAAGTACCCCTTGTTAAACTCTTTCTACAGACCAGTGGTTTTCAAACTTTTCAAAGTTTCAAATCAGCACTTCAGAATTATCGTAAATCCCAAGTTCATTTCTTACAAGTTTGGCTCTCTGTATAATCATTTTCACTGAGTTACTTTAACAATAAAAAGGATCTTCATGAACTGGAACAGTAGCACATGCAGCTGACCCAGTTTCGATTCCCAACATCCCATATGGTCCCCTGAGCACGACCAGGAATAATTCCTGAGTGCAGAGCCAGGAGTAACCCTTGTGCGTCCCGGATGTGACCTCCCCCCCCCCCCCCCAAAAAAAGATTTTTATTCCTCCAGTTTTCAATATTCTCTTTTGAGCCCTCACAGTAAGACTTATTAGCATCCATGTGTCTGCTAACATTCTGCTCAAAGTATTATAAGTTCTTTCTTTTTTTTTTTTTCTTAATGTACCTTTGAAATACTACAGGAGTTAAGGTGCTTGTCTTGCATGTGGCCAACCTCAGTTCAATCCCTGTTCAAGACCTGAGTGAGTTGTGGCCTACTCCCCCCATCCCCATCAAATAAATAAAAATCATGATCTTCAAAATTTTTCTAGGTTCTTCCCCACTACCCAATCAAAGCCACTTCTACATTTTTGTTAAATGTCATTATTTCGGATATATTCTTCTAATTTCCGTTTACTATGATAAATTACCATAACTTTTCTAATAGTGCAAAGTTGCTATCTTACAGTTTTAGAGATTATAAATATATAGCGAACTTAAAATCAAAATATCATCAGGGCAGTATTTCCTGGGGGGCTGGGCATGGAGATGTGAACAATGACATCTGATGCAACTGATGAGCTCTTTCTATGTGTTCACTTATTTTTAGGGAGCCACTAAATGCTTATTTTTATAGTTTGGGAACTTTTGTTCTAGAGACTGCCACATTGCTTGGTTTGGTGTTCCCCTTCCATCTTCAAACCAACAAGAGCCAGTCATTTCTGTCATGTCACATCACTGAATCTCTGGTTCTGTCACACCAGCTCTTTCTTTATTTAAGGACTCTCGTCTACATTGAACTCACAAGAATAATCCAGAGTAACTGCCTGTTAGAAAGTCAGCTGCTTAGCAGCCTTAATTTTATATGCTACCTTAACTTTTCTTTGCTCTGTAATTTAACATAGTCACATGTTTGGACATAGATTCTCAAGGTCTGGACATAGATTTTGAGGATGGTATTGTTTTGCAAACCACAGTAGAACATAGTATACGTCATTAATTCTCAGTTCAGTTATACTTGTGAACATTTGGGTTTTTCAGAGGCAGACCAGTTTTATGCCTCCCACATATCCCCATTACTTTTCCCCGTTGATACATTTTGATTGAGGTGAAATTATATAACATATCATTAACCATTTTGAAATGTAAAATTCAGTGACAATTAGTGCATTCACAGTATTATCTTACCACTGACTCCCTTTAGTTTAAAAACCATTAATTCAGAACACATACACATTCCCTATTTTTTTCTCTTCCTCATCCCCTGATAACAAATAATCTACTTTCTCTGTTTTTGCCTCTTTTGCATAGTTAATACGAAAAGAAACAAATGACCTTTATGTGTCTGGCATTCACTTAGGTGTACGGTTTTGAGTTGCATCCAAATTGTAGTTTATATCAGTACATCATTCTTTTTTTATATATAAATAATGCATTCATGCACAACTTACCCATTTATTCATTGATGAACATTAAAGCAGTTTCCAACTTTGGGCTATTATGACATGATGTTGTCATAAACACTGTGTCTTCTGTTGAAGAACTCCTCAGCTATTTTTTATGTCTACACTATTTTGCAGTCATAACAGCAATAAATGCATGTTCTGATTTCTCAGCATTCTTAGCTATGCTTTTATTTTTTGGTTAGCATTTCTCAAACGATTTATATTAAAGTTGTGTCCCATAGGATGGGGCTGGGCATGGAGTGTCAAGAATCGAGCCCACCCGGGATTAGTCCCAGGAGGTTTGCTCTATGGCTTGGAGGCCAACCACACATGCTAGGGGAAAAGGGAGCTCAGATAGAGAAGGGAGGACCAAATAAAGGGTGTTGGGAGGATCCTCCCAGGATGAGAGAAGCATGTCGAGAAAGTGGACCATAGACCAAACATGATTGCCATTGAACGCCTCTTTTGCAAACCACAACACCCAAAAGGAGAGAGAGAACAAAAGGGAATGCCCTGCCACAGAGGCAGGGTGGGATGGCGGGGATGGGGGATGGGAGGGATACTGGGAACTGTGGTGGTGGGAAATGGGCACTGGTGGAGGAATAGGTATTTGACTGTTGTATAATTGAAACCCAAGCACAAAAATTTGTAAGTGTACAACTGTACCTCATGGTGTCTCACTAATAAAAATGTAAAAAAAAAATCCTTAATTTCTAAAAAAAAATAAAAAGAAGAAGAATTGAGCCCACTGGGATGAAGCGATAGTACAGCAGGTAGGGCATTTGCCTTGCACGCAGCCAACCCAGGTTCGATTCCCAGCATCCCGTACGGTTCCTTGAGCACCACCAGGAGTAAGTTCTGACTGCAAAGCCAGGAGGCAACCCCTGTGCATTGCCAGGTGTGATTCCCCCCCCCCCCCCAAAAAAAAAAAAGATTTCCAGCCCTTGGGGCTGGAGCAATAGTACAGCAGGTAGGATGTTTGCCTTGTATGCACCTGACCCGGGTTTGATCCCAGCATCCCATATTGTGCCCTGAGCACCATCAGGAGTAATTCCTGACTGCAAAGCCAGGAATAACCCCTGTACATCGCTGGGTGTGACTCAAAAGGGAAAAAAAAAAAAAAGATTGCGCCCATGGCTTCAGATATGTAAGGCGTGTGCTAGATTTTTTATTTTCCTTCTTCACTGACATTCACACTAGAAAAATTTCTTCTCTAAGTTTATTAAGACACTGTAAGAGCTATCAGCTATGACAATAAAATTCAGCATTGGTGCTAAACCTGGGTAGATGTAGCCAGAGAGAAAGTACAGCATGTAGGGTACTTGCCTCACACGCTACCAACCAGAGGTGGATCCATAGCATCCCATTTGGTCCCCCGAGCCCACCAGGAGTTATTCCTGATCGCAGAGCTAGGAGTAAACCCTGAACGTCACAAAGTGTGGCCCAGCACCTACAACCTCCCCCACAAAGAAGAATTGGGTAGACAAATCTTAATTTCTTTTTAGTGAAAAAAATGAAAAAACCAGGCTCACAGTTTTATGCAAAAACCTGAGCATGAGATTCTCCTGGGACTGTCATACTCAAATCCTGCAAGTGGTCTGGGGGAGAGGGGACATATCTGCTGGGCTGTGCTGGTGATGTTTGGGGGGGGATCATGTTGCTAGAGATCACACTGATATGAGTTGCCTGCTTTACCAGTACTTTGATCCCTTTGCAGTGATTTCCTAGTTCCACTGTTGCTCTATCCCCCAACTGAATGTTTAAAGAATTATTTTGTTTTTCTTGAAATACTGTTTCTTTAGAATTGTAAACTCATAGCATCTAACAAGGGAAATACCATTTGTACTAAATGATAGCATAGTAATTAAACTGAACATGAGTAGATAACACCAGAGTTAGGAGCTTAACAAAAAATGAGGTATGAAATGGGAGCAGTTGACTGTGAAGCACTTTCCTCTTCGCTTTATCGAACTGCATAGTTCCTTCTTCACCCTTCCACCCTTCCCTGCGCCCCTCCCTTCACTCCCCAAGGTGGTGCTGAGGAAACCTGGTGGGGACACTCCCAGAGGCTGCTCAGACTAGTGGACGGATGATTGGCTGCTCAGGCCCAGTGATACTGGGGACCACAGGGCTACCCTGCCATTGTTCGGGGCACTTCAGTGGTGCTAGGGGTTGGGATATATGCAGTGCCAGGATCAAACTCTGGTTCTCACACATGCAAGGCATGTACCCTGACCACTCTACTCCCTAGCCCCAAGAATCATTTTGTTCCTTAGAAAAGTTAAAATGTGTAATGGTTTATATATGTTAAACTCAATTTTTTTTTTCAGTTATCCTAGAAAAAAATTACAGGTTAGAAAAATTAATAAAATAACCGTGATGTATTTTTAAGGTTTAAGTCTCATGTCCATTTTTATTTATTAAGAATTTGTTGTTTTGGACCAATTCAGCTTGAATTGTAAAGAGAAAATGTTTGGATAATGATCTCAGTAGACTGTAGCTTAGGCTTGGAGGTCTGTGTTTGATTCCCTAGCACCACATGGTCCCATGAGCACAGCTAGATGTAGCTCAGAAACCAAAAATAATAATTTGGTGCTTTGAATATAGTTATATCTCTTTCATATTGTTTATTCACGTCTATCTCTAAAAGCAGAGAAAAGAAAAATACCTTGTTGTTTTGGTTTTGTTTTTTTGGTTTTGTTTTTTTGGTTTTGTTTTTGAGTCAGAACCCAAAATTTACTGAATCCCTTTGCAGTGATTTCCTAGCACTCTGTAAAATTGAAATTCTTTCCTTGGCTTGAAAGTCTGTGCATAAGTTGGTCCTTGCTATTCCTTCAACTGCTCAGAGCCTCTTTGACATGTACTGATGCTTGTGTTTTTTTCCCCTCTATGTGCCAACATGTTTCCATCTAAATCTTGGCATTGTGCCTAGAACATAGGCGGTATGCCGTTGCTTGGTTGTCTTTTTGGTGTTTAAATCAAAACTCCAACCTTGACTAATACCAAGCACAAACTAGCACCATACACCTTTTTTTAAATTTTATTTATTTATTTCCATTTTTTTTTTAATTGAATCACCTTGAGATACAGTTACAAAGTTGTTCATGACTACAGGTTTCAGTCATACAATGTTACAATGCCAGTCTGCAGTCCTTCACCAGTGTGGGTTTCCTGCTATCAGTGTCCCCAGTTTCTTTTGAATTCCCCCCTCCACCTCTTGTAGGCACTTTTCTTCTTTTTCTGTCTCTGTCTCTTTCTCTCTCTCTGTCTCTGTCTCAGTCTCTCTCCCTCTGTCTCTCTCCCCTCATTTCTTCTCCCCCCCTTTTTTTGCATTATGATTTGCAATACAGATACTGAAAGATTATCATGTATATCCCTTTAACTACTTTCAGCACTCAGTTCTCTCAGTTCTACCATACACCTTTTTAATTTACTTCATACCACTGTTTCTTTAGATTTATTTTAGTTCACCTATTTCGTTTTTTCTGTCTTCTCATCCCCACTGTGGCAGTGTAAGTTGAGGCTGAATTGTAAAGAGAAAATATTTGAGGGGCCAGAGTGATAGTGCAGTAAGGCGTTTGCCTTGCATGAAGGGAACCTGAATTCTGTCTCCAGCATCCCATAATATCCCTTGTGCACCACCAGGATTAATTCCTGAGTGAAGAGCCAGGTGTAAAACCTAGTACCACTGGGTGTAATCCCCCCCAAAAAGAGAAAATGTTTGGGTATTGATCTAAATTCTAGAGCATTGTTTGTACATGATTCTTATTAAATAGTTGTTGAACTAACAAAATTACTTTATTTCATGTTTATTTGGGGTGGAAAGTTACTAGCATTTTAGTATTTCCATTAGGTTTTATCTTATAGTATTGATTATTAATAATAATCTTAATATCTAGAATTACACTTTCATTTTTGACAGGTTGACTTTGGCAGAATATCATGAGCAGGAGGAAATTTTCAAACTTAGACTAGGACATCTCAAAAAGGTATGTGATGCATATGCTGGATTTTTAGTCTCTTAATAGAAATGAGAATTATGTTCCACGTCTCTTGTTGAAGAACTCAAAACAAAGTGAGAAAGACTCCAAACTTAATTTTAAAATTCCAGAGGGGCACTAAAGTAGCATTTTTATATTATGCATACATTACACATTAAAATAATATTCCTTAACTGTGGCAACATTGAGATGCTGATAATTCTTTGTTTCATTTTAGGGTAGTGATTTCTAGGTATGCTTCTAGGGTTTTTAGATTGCTCTATTATATATATATGTGCGTGTTTTTTTAATAAGTGCTGTATTTAATGACCATAAAATTTTATATTGTTTGTGTCCATTTCATGATAGAGTGAAATAACAATTAGAAGTAAGTAGCATGGTTTTGGCTTTAAGCTACTGAATACATAACTGATTAAATGTGTCAGTTAAAATTATGGTTGGTTGTTTTAAAATTTTTCCTGGTACTTTAAAATATTTGGTTTCACTGAAATACTTTCTATATTCTAGAATAAGGTATATTTAAATGTCTCATTATTAGGCAGTTGTGATCTGATCTGTTCTCTGTTACTGTGTCTTCTAATTTCCTTTTTTTGTTTAAATAGTTCTCTAGTTTTTTATTTAGCTGTTCTTTATAATAGTTGTACCCTTCAAAGTCTTTTTCCTGATTTGGAGGTTTGTTTTTCTTTCTTTATAATAGTTGTACCCTTCAAAGTCTTTTTCCTGATTTGGAGGTTTGTTTTTCTTTCTTTTTTTTTTTTTGGTGGACGGGATGGGTCCAGCTTTCATAATTTACTGTACTGTAGAGTTCCAACTTTTCTTTGTCCTCCACTATGAAATATTTTGGGCAAGTAGATAAACTAACGGGCCAGAATGATAGCATAGCAGATAGGGCGTTTGCCTTACACACGGCCGACTTGGGTTTAATTCCTCTGCCTGTCTTGGAGAGCCTGGCAAGCTGTGGAGAGTATCCCACCTGCACGACAAAGCCTGGCAAGCTACCCGTGATGTGTTTGAAATGCCAAAAAAAAAAAAAACAGTAACCAAAAGTCTCACACTGGAGACGTTACTGGTGCCTGCTCAAGCAATTCGATAAACAATGGGAGGACATTACTGTAGTGCTACAGATAAACTAATAATGTTGAAAAATAATATCGTAAATTATTTTCTTCTGAGAGACTATTTGGGTGAGAAGGATAAATGATTGTAATAAACCTTGCTAGTAGTATATAGAGAGAATAAAATTGAATAAGGAGTATCACCTTGGTCACAGATAGTTTCTTGCCTACTAACCATGCATATTAATTTTTCACTTGTACCATTAAAAAAGCATTAAGTTGCATGTTTTAGAAATAAGCTGTTTGGGGGCTGGAGTGATAGTATAGGGTGTTTGCCTTGCACGCGGCTGACCTCAGTTTGATCCCTGGCATCCCGTATGGTTCCCCATGCACTGCCAGGAATAACCCCTGAACATTGCAGGGTGTGACCCAAAAAGCAAAAAAAAAAAAAAGAATACAAGAAAGAAGCTATTTGGCAGTCTCAGGGACAGTTGGAAAAGTTGGAAAATAAGTTGTTAAAGATGGGCATTTTATTTTTTAAATAAGGTAGATTGGATAAAATGGACAAAAGACGAAGCTTGAATTAGGAAAAAGATGTTTTCGCTTTTATCAGCTCCTTAGGCTCCTATGTTTGAGTTGATACAGACGACCCCAGCTTATAACTATATGGCTTCTAGCATAATCTGGATCTGTTATGTGAATGTTAGATGAGTATGTAACCTGCACAGCATTTTGTATGTCCATTTAGGATTAGACAAAGTGACTCTTTTGTTCTTACACTCCCTTTAATAAAAAGCTCTTAAAAATTTAATCAGAACTATTAAATTTGGGACTAGAGCGATAGTACAACCTGTAGGGTGCTTGCCTTGCATGTAGCCAACCTGGGTTCTATCCCCAGCATCCCATGTGATTCCCCCAAGCCCGCCAGGACTGATTCCTAAATGCAAAGCCAGGAGTAACTCTTGAACATCCAGGAGTGGCCCCAAAACAAAAACAAGCCAAAAAAATAATTATTAAATTTTTTGGTACCAAAGGGAAAAAAACCTTCTTCCATGAGGGAAGATGATGCCTTCTGGACACACGAAACTAAGTGGCCTAATTACTTTGTTGAAATAAGTGATTTATGACATTCATTGTATTTCACAAATCACAATTATTGAATAGTGAATACCTGTAAAGTATATTTACCATTGAATAAATTATAGCATTCAGTTCTCATTCTGTGCTATGTGGTAGGGTTAGAAATAAAATAAATCCATAGCTATTTAGTGATGGTCAAAAAAGGATTGAGAGTTAAGCTTAAACATGCAAAAGTAAGACCATGGCTAGAAACATATTTCTAGTCACCAAATTTGTAAATGTAAACTTACTTAAGGAATTACTGGTTTTGTCTTCCAAAATTAAAATCACTACAGTATCATCTTTTTAATAATACCAAGGATTTTAAATATTTTACACACATATTGCACACCAGTGCATTTACTAAGTGATTTATTTCCTTAGCTTTCCCTTGTATAGGCATGATTCAAATACCCATTTCAAGAAAATCATATAATACTGTATTTTATGGGCCTTTGAAGTTTTAACCATTCTAAAGTAAACATTAATGCTTTTTGAATGCCAGATATATATTTTTGTTAATTAGTATAGCTAGTAGCCAAAAAGCCAAAATTTGAACCTTTCCTCAGTACTAATTTAGTGATTCCTATATACTTTTCTCCTGTAATATTTTAGATGAATAACAAATTACACTCCGAAGAATTATTTCACTTATAAAACTTTGTATTTCAGATGTCTGCTTTTCATTTAGTTTTTTTGTTAACATACTGTTCTTTATGATAAAGGAGAACAATCATTTTTTCACATAGATGCACTTTCTCAGGTATTACTTCCCTTATATATTCTGCTACTAATTGTTGTAGTAATTAGAATATGTTTAGCTAGTTTATTGCTTTTCATTCTAATTTTTTTTGGAGGGGAGGGCCATGTCCAGTACTCGGGTGCCTAGGGCTTAGTCCTGCTCTGTGTTCAGGGATCACTTCTGGTGGGCTTGAGGGAGGTGACCAAATGGTGTGCAAAGCTATCAAATATAGGTCAGTTCGTGCAAGGCAAGTACTTTACCAGCTGTACTATTTCTCTGAATCTCTAAATTTATTTTTAAAGGTTAGTAGAAAAAGCACTTTTGGGGGTGTTAAGAAATATGAAGATCGTCTCATTTTTTCCTTTTTTGTAGCTTTAAGGTTGTGACATAATAAAAAAGAACAATTAAAATGTGTGGTGACTGTGCTTGGCTTAGCTCCAGTGATAGCCCAACTGTGTAAGTCTAATGGTTGAGCCTGGTGATGTGATGCTAGGGGCCACGAAGGCCACACTGGTGGTGCTGTGTCATGGGAATGGGGGAAGAGGGGGAGTGGCATATGGTATAAGGATTAAACTTCAGCCCCCTCTATTCTTCTCCTTAAAATTGTTGCTGTTTTGAAGCAGATCTACTTACTATCCTAAAGTGGTACCTGCACCATATATAGAATTTGGGGATTTAAGGAAACAAATTACAGTGTGGCTTTTATGTTACTTGTTTTTATTCCATTCTTTGATAAATTCTAGTTAGGAAAGGCTGTTTATCTTTGTGATTTGAAGAACTACATGAGTATACTTTATAAGGTTTCTTACCAGATTAACAAATTTAAGTTTTTATAAATCTTTGAAAAACTGTCATCCTTAATCATAGATTCTCTCTGTATACAATAGTATCATTTTTGAGCATCATTATCATTTTCAGTTGTATAGGATATAAAAGAAAAAATCCATAACAGACTTTCATTGGCTACAGAGGTTTGAGTTCAGGTTTACAGATCTAGAAGAGAGTAGATTTTTCATCTTCTAGATAGTGATCAATAGTTGAGTATACTGCTGCTGGAGTAAGAAAAGATCTAGCTGTCTATGACATGCTAAATTTGTCTCTGATAAATCAAAGGAAGAAGCATGAATAATCTCTAGGCTCTCTGTGGCTAAGATTGCACAGAGCACAAAAAATGAGGTTTCCAGGAGGTTTACTCCATGGCTTGGAGGCCATCCGCACACTCTAGGGGTAAAGGCAACTCAGATAGAGAAGGGAGCACCAAATAAAGGGTGTTGGGAAGATCCACCCAGGATGCATGCTGAAAGTAGACTTTAGACTGAACATGATTGCCACTCAGTGCCTCTTTTGCAGACCACAGCACCCAAAAGGAGAGAGAGAACAAAAGGGAGTGCCCTGCCACAGAGGCAGGGTGGGATGGGGGGTGGGGGGTGAAAGGGATACTGGGATTAGTGGTGGTGGAGAATGTGCACTGGTGGAGGGATGGGTACTCAATCATTGTATAACTGAAACCCAAGCACAAAAATTTGTAAGTCTACAACTGTACCTCATGGTGTTTCACTAATAAAAATTTTTTAAAAAGAAAAGTAATGAAAAAAAAGAAAAAAATTAGGTTTCTGTTTTTGCCATGAACCTGGTAATAGGGTCTTACTGAGATCATTTGAAAGTGGGTGGGCATAAGCACTTTATCCTGAATTAGAATCACTGCAGACATTGAGAGAAATGTACATTTAGGATGCACACATATATCCCTCCAGATTTTAATTGCGTGACAATATATAATAAAATGCATACACAATAAATGTTGGTCAGAAACTTTTGATAAACATATCTACTCAGAACTCATTCGTGCCTCTTTACAGTTAATGTGCTTTATGAAGCTTACAGTATCTCTTTTCTAAAAGTCATTTCATATTATTGCTTAAAAATACTAAATACTATCATATTATCCTCAAATGATAAGTAAATAAGAATTTTCAAACTTACTAAAAACCAATAGCTTTTGTGTCACTTGAATTTATAGTGTAAATACCATGTGGATATGTGATGCTTTTTCTTTTCTTGGGGCAGATTTT